ATTAATGAAGCCATCTGGATCTAGAGTTTTCTATAGGACTTTCTAGGTATATATTACAATATCTTTAAAAGGCTTTAGGGCTATTCAGGCCATCTTTGTATTAGTTCATTTCTTCTATTTTGAGTTCAGTTTGTTCTTGTTCTAATGGTAAAAGGTAAAGCTTAAGGTAAACTGGTCTTTAATTTGAGACTTTTCTCTAAATAGACTTTTTGGTACTATAAATTTCCATCCCAATACTAGTTTATTTCACAAGTTTTGGTATATATTTTCATTTTCTCTTTTTTTTGTTTTATTTATTATTTTTATTTTATGTGTATGAGTGTTATGCCTGCATGTAGGTAAGTGCACCCGTGTCATGCAGTGCCCACAGAGGACAAAAGAGGCTGTTGGATCGCCTGGAACTTGAGTTACAGACAGTTGTCAGCTGCCATGTGGGTGCTGGGATTGAAACCCGGGTCTCCTGCAAGAACAGTCAATGTTCTTAACCGCTGAGCCAGCTCTCCAGCCCCTCATTTTCTTTTTTGATTTCCTCATTGAGCCATGCATTGTTTGTTTGTTTGTTTGTTTGTTTGTTTGAGACAGTGTTTCCTTGTATAGCCCAAGCTGTGTAGTTCAGGTTGGCCTCAAAGTCAGTCATCCTCCTGCCTCCACCTCCCACATACTGGGGTTACAGACATCATCACCACCACACCCAGCGACCCAAACTGCTTCTCTAATTTCATTCTAGATGGCCAGAGAACATCCTTGAGTCTTTCATTTCTTGAGATTTGTATTAGGGATTGGAGATGAAAACATACACACATACCCCCTCTCCAGTGTTAAAGTCTTGGTCTCCAGGTGGAGGTAGTACTAGAGGTGGTTGGATCACTGGTAGCTCCTTCCTTCATCAGTGGGTGAATCCATTAATACATCGCTGGATGCTAGATGGGCTATGAGGAGTTGGGGCCCTGTAATATCATTCTTTTCTTCTTTCGTTGTTTTGTTTTGTTTTTTGAGACAGGGTCTCCCTGTAGCCGCAGCTGGTCTAGAACTCAACTGTGTAAACCAGGCTGGGCCTCAATCTCACAGACACCTGCCTGCCTCTGCCTCTTGCCTGCTGGGATTAAAAGCATGTGCCACCATACCCAGCCCTGTAACATGATTCTTGATGTTTGGGGTTTTTTTGAACATTATAAGCATTTTTATTTTTAAATTTATTTATTTAATGTGTGGGTGAATGTGCCATGATGCATCTGGTGAGTGGAGGTCAGAGGACGGTGTGCAAGCATCGTTTCTCTCCTTCTGCTATACGGATTCTAGGGATTGAAGTCAGGTTGTCAGGTCTCCCGTAGTGGTGAGCACCTTTTCCCCACTGAGCCACCTCACTGACCACTGGTTTGCTAATCCGTCATTGTTTTACTTTCCTTTTTCTTGCTTTTGAATTTACTGAGTATTTTTATTTTTGACCCTTCCACTTTCTTGTGGGTTTGTTCTGTTCTTGAATGGTTGCTTTAAGGTTCATAGCAGACATCTTTAATGTATCTCAGTCTGCTTTCATGTTTTTCTTTAGCTTTTTAAAGAAGCTCCTGTGTGTCCGCTAGCTTGCATTATTTCTGACAAAGAATCCACTACCATCTTCTGCATCTATGTCTACTGTATCAGTTTCTTTTAAATCTATCCCTGGCTGGCTTCGGGCAACTTGATGACATCTGGTTTTGTACTTGTCTTTGTTTCTTATACTTGGGTTTGTTGAGCTCGTTGGATCTATGGGCTTAAAATTTTCATCAAATACAGCAAATTTTCTGCCCTAATCCCTTTGTGTTTGTAATGTACATGTGTTTATGTGTGTACATATGAGTACAGGTCTCTCCCTGAGCCTAGAGCTCAACAAATGGATAAAGTGGGGTTATAGGCACATACTGCAATGTCTGGCTTTTTATTTTCCGTTCAGGTGCTGGGGATCCAAACTTGGGTCTTCGTGCTTGCACTGCAGGCTCTTTACCAACCGAGCTTCTCACAGTACGTTCTGCCATCTGTATTTTTCTGTCCCCTCAATCTGTGTCCTTTACACTTATACTTGGCTGTTTGAGATTGTCCTACACGTCACTGCTGCTTTTCAGCCTTTTTTTCTGTCCCTAGGATAACTGTCCTTTTGTTCTTTACTTTCTGATCTGCCGTTTATCCTTTAAACGATTTTTTTCAGCTCCAACACTGGCTTTTCCTTCTTGCTTCTAGGTTCTTGGGTTTATAGAATGGAATTCTATTAACTTTTTGCAAGCCAGTCTACTAAACAGTCATCTGGGTCACTCCTGGATCAGTTTCAGTTGCTTTTTCCTCATTGTGGGTTATCTTTACCTGGTTCTTTGTGTGCCTGGCATTTTTAACAATAGGCCAGACACTGAGATGTCTGTGTTAGGTGCTGGCCATGTCTGTGTTTCTGAAGCTGTTCTGCAGCTTTGTTTGGTATACAGTACAATTTCTTGGAACAGTGATCCTTTCAGCTTCACTGTCAGGCTTTGATGAGCAGAACTCTGTCGTCACCAGAGCATCCTCATCACATTTTTCCCTGCCAAGCAGTACCCTTGTTAGTGCTCTACAGAGTGCCCCTGAGTGATGGAGGTCTTCCTGCCCTAGTGTCGGCAGCAGGTCCTACCCCAACCCCGTGTGAGCTACGGACCGTTCTCCACACTTCTTAAACTGTTCTTTCCCTGACTCTGCATAGTACCCCACTGAGTGCCCTCTGCAGCCCCCAACATTCTGTTACCTTCTGAACTCTAGCTGCTATCCCTCACTAGTTCTCCCTGCTCTGCCTTCAGCTTGCAGGGACCATCAAGCTCCTGCACCCCATCCTAGGAACATTCTTCAAGCAGTAAGTTAGGACAGTCAAAGCTCACATGATTTTTATTTCTATCACTAAGAAGTCACTGTCCTCCCTTCTGGTGCCTGATGTCCTGAGAGCCTCAGTTATATACCTTTTTTTCAGTGTACTGTTTGATTCTGGGAAAATACGGTCCCTGATACTGGCTGGATCTATTTTTCTCTTCTTTTTATTTTATGATTCTGGTTTTCTAAAAGGAACTATTATTGACATTTGTTAAATAAATTGAAAACCATAAAGATTTATTTTTGGTTCATATCTAAAATTTCATTATGTGAAAGTATACATTTTGTAAAATGTAAGTCTAGCTGCACTTTTCAGTATATTAAATCAGTTATATAATTAAAATATGCATGCATTGAACTTAGGAGAAATTAATTAGCACAAACAAGCAAGGAGGAAATGACTGTCTGGACCATGGGGATCACAGCCTGAGCCTACAGAAAATTTGTCATCTTGGCTTCCAGAGGGCACCTTGAAGCATAAAATGGTCTCCAGGGCCCAACCTTCTCTTCTCGCTGTTCAGCAGTGTGCCTCCCTGAAGTCTGGTGACCTTATTCCTTTGGTCACTTAGTAACCAGGCCTCCTACCTGCATAAGAAAGAAATAATAAAGCATAATAGAAAATGAAGATTCTTCTACTTGGTGCCCTGGAGCTTTGGTGTAAGAGGCTGAGCTCAATTAATCTTGAAAGTGAATCTCAAAATATGCATGTCGAGCTGAACATGGTCAGGTTTTCCTTTGATACCTACCCCAACAGAGCATTAAAATGTCAGACCTGTTCTAAATCGGGTCCAAGAACATCTTGCTCTACTTTTGTCACTGTTCAGATAATTTTAGAATATATATGGACTCCTTCTCGCTTTATAGTTAGCCACTAACTTTTTTTTAACAGAGAACATCGAAAGAAATTGGGGTTTGAGATAACTCATAAAATTCTTTTCATTGTCTTAGTGTTTAATTAATAGGATAACTCCAATTTAATTATAAGTTCAAAGCCATCTCCTAAAAAGATGAAAATTACCCTGAATTATAGCAGTATAAGAGCCTGTAATTCTCTCTCTCTCTTTATCTCTCTCTCTCTAGATGAAGAACTAGTAGATGTATCTGCATCTGTCTTACCAGAATTGAAAAAAGAAACATATGGCCAGATTCGGGTCTGTGCGAAACAGAGGCTGGCTCGGTACGGTTCCTTTAACACAGTGCAGACTTCTGAGAAGACACAGAGGAAAGTGAGCTCAGAACCCAGCAGCCCGCACAGAGAGAAACAAGGTATCGGCCCTTGCTTAGCCTGTGGGCTCCAGCAGTGGCCGTAGAAAGCACCCCCAGCCATGTGCGGGCGTTTTCACATCTTCTGTAGACCTAGCCTGGGTTTTTTGGCAGTTGACTTTTCACTTGCCTGAAGACAAGCAGTTATTGGCAGCAAAAGAAATGCTGACTTTACAGAGTGTGAGCATGCCCCCTACTCCTCAAATTGATCCAGCCAGCCTTGATCAATTGTCTTGCCATGCTGGACCTGTTGGGTATATCTCAGAAATGTATGACTTATAAAAACGATGCTTGTTTTGTTACGAATTCTTAATAAGATCCAAATTTACCATTAGTAGCTAACTTCTGGAAATTGCCCTTTTTGTATCAAACGCAAAGAGACAAGATAGTCTTAATAATCCCTAAGCTGTATGTAATAATCGGTATTGTGTGTAAGTGCACACAAGCCTTCTGCTGTGTTTGTTAATCTTCACGTCCCTTTCAGGATCGGCCTATTCCCTAGAAATTGGAAGTCTGGCAGCTATCTACAGACAGAAAATAGAAGACAATTTGCAGTAAGTAGCCTTTAATAACTGAGTGTATTCTCTTCTAATTTTTCCTACTGTTAATTTGGACTAAATTTAAATGCTGCCCATCACAAGATAAAATGTAAGCCAGATTTTTTTCTTATTGTGAAAGAATAATGAATTTTCCCCTTTGTGCCCAGCACTGCAGAAAATTGCATCAGTGACAGAAATATCTGAAAAATTTATCCCCTAAGCTACAATAACTTACAGGAAACAAAATAAGAAGACAAATAAATATACTGCGGAAAAAGCGAGTCACTACTGACACCACTGTCTCGTCACTGGCTAATGTGTGTACTACCAAGTGGTCTTTTTAGAGGCTCTTGTGGTTATCCTTATTTTATAGAGAGGAAACTGAAATCCAGAGAGGCTATGTAACTTGCCCAACACAAACCTCAGAAGTCACAGCTGATTTAAGCCCATCCGACTTAAATTTGAGATCTAATTCTGAAGGCAAACATGTATTAGAAGATGTAGAAGACACAATAGAGAGTGAGAGGTTTTTAATGATATGGGAAGAAACAGTCCAAGGAAAGTTAGGGAGGAGATGGACAAAGTGCTAATGAGTGTAGCTGTTGTGATTTGTCTAAGACAAAAGGAAATATTCATAAGAGCATTTGGGGGCCACTGAGATGGCTCATCAGGTAAAGGCACCTGCCACCAAACCTGACAACCTGAGTTCAGTCCCTGGAATCCACACAGAGGAAAGAGAAATGAGTCCTGAAAATGGTTCTCTGACCTCCATGTGTTTTGAGACACACACACACACAAAAAAAAAAAAATCAGGCTAGAAAGATGGCTCAGTGGTTAAGAGCACTGGCTTCTCTTGCAGAGAACCCAGGTTTGATTCCCAGTACCCACATGGTGGCTGACAACCATCCATAACCCAGTTCCAAGGGAATCCAACACCCTCTTTTGACCTCCGTGAACATTAGACAACACAGGTGCACTTACATATACATTCAGTCAATACTCTCATACACATAAAATAAAAATAGTAAATAAGATTTTTTTAATGAAAGAAGGAAAAAGTCTCAAAAAATAAAATAATAATAAGAATAATAATTAATAATAAGGAAGCATTTGGGTATAGGTCAAGTTGGCAAAAGTATTGAAAGTGAAGGGTGTTTGAATTCACCAGACAGAATAAAAACCATTGAAGGTTCAGTGACGATCGTGTTAAACAGGTGGGGTTGGAAGAGGAGAAGAGCTCCTGATAGGCAGATCACAGAATAAGACGTGTCGTAGTTGTGGCTGTTGCAGTACAGATCTGAACCATGTCAGCCAAAGACAGAAAGAAAAGAGAAAATATCAGACAAGGAGTCAGCAAAGCTAGCTCAAGTAGAAGGAGGCATCAGAAAGACCAGTAGGGTCAGGTCACGGTGCTGCTGGAGGTTGGGAGCAGTGGCTGGGGTCTCAGCAGTGGTTAATGTACTCTATGGCCTGTGGAGTTTCACAGATCTGAGTAGTACAGATTCCTCACTTAGGGAGACCATGGTTGGAGAGATGTACTCACCTCTGCAACCCCATGTTTGCCGTTCTATTTCCAGTAGCAGAATCAACCAGGAGAAAAATGTGCAAAAGGGTTTCAGTGATCCCTCAGAACGGCTGAAAGAAATCCATGTTCTCTATTTGCCGGTTCTTAATCCAGTTCTAAACATGTACTAAAAGCATTAACATGGTTTTTGTTTTGTTTATTATCCACAACTTCACAGATGCATTTGTTTGTATTTGGCCTTGGAACTATATTCTGGACCTCAGGGTGTCAAGTCATAGCAGTTTAGGAACATATAAATAATAACAGAAAACATTGATGTTTGTTATCAGGATGGCTAGAATTGCAGGAAATTGTAAGTACTTGGTCCTATGCCTAAATTATGCTAAAGAAATATTAAAAGAGGCAAAGGGAAAACTTGAACTAAGTTCCCAGAGAGCATGCTTTCCTTCTTAAGACCATGTTTTTGAGGTATAAAGCTTGGAGAAAAGAGAAATAATGTATGCAAAGATTTTAACAGAATTCCAGCGTTGTACCAAGGTCTCCATAAGTGTTAACGGAACAAGGGAAGGAAAGTAAGAGGGGAGTGAAGGGACAGGCAGTGGGTCAGAAGCAGAGACAGAGAAGGATATCAAGGTAAGAGTTTTATAAATGGGCTGTAACAGTTCGATGTCGGTTTGGTTCTGGATGACTGCTGCTAATCCTCCTCCACTTTCCCTAAAGGAATTAACAGAAAGTAAAATCATTTCATAAATATGAAGATACACCATTATTATAATTAAGACCATTAACAAGTTTTGAATATTTTTATTTTCTCTAAAAAGGGCCCAGTATTGTTTATAATCTCATATAATAGGAATGCCTAAGCATTCTGTACTGATACTGAGCAAAATGAGACAAGATAAACAGAAAGTAAGTCGGCAGGTACGTTTACATCCTTCCCACTTCAGTTCACAGTGAATTCTAGGTAAAATAGACTAGTCTTCCTCTGAAGCAGAGTCTGGTCCAGATCTCTGTCATCTACCCAGTGACTGAGACCATGGGCTTTGCCATCAAACAGACATACTATGAGCCCAGTGTCACCACTTTAGACCTGTGGCAGGTGGATTAACCTCTGAGCTCCAGTTTTTGTCATCAGTAAACAGGGAGGAATGAGAGTAGCTATTACTTTTGCAATTTGCTAATCCTAGTAATGTCTGCTAAGGCTTAAGCACTTGATAATAGAATGGAAGAAATAAGAGCCAGTGTCAGCTGTCACCTGACAACCCCAGTAGCTCTTCCCCAATTGGCACCTCACCCCATCCCTAGCCAGCTAGCCAGGGTTACCTGATCTGCTTCTGTGTGACCAGGGAGGACATCTGAACATCAGCTCAGAATTGCCCCACTTCTGACTAGGTAGAGCTTCCCTAAGGAGAGCAGAGAGTCAGGAGCTGGTGTAGTGTGGGAATTCAATGGTATTCATTGTTTCTCTCTATTACAGGGGGGAAACCTTTGCCAGTAAGAGAGTGGTGCCTCCAGCAAGCGGCTTGGACCCTACCCTCCCTATCGACCCAGAATACTGTGTTAACCCATTAGCCCACCAAGTATTTTCTGTTGCTCAAACAGATTTGCAGGCATTCTCCATGCAGAATGGTCTGAATGGACAATTAGGAGTCCCCCTCATTTCTGCAGCCTCTGATGCAGAGAGCTCGAAGCCAGCTCTGCTTGCTGGTCAGCCCCTGGTGTATGTGCCCTCCACTTCACTATACATGCTGTGTGGGAGCCTGCGGGAGGGACCATCCCCAGGCTCAGGATCAGAGGACAGCAGAAGCTCAGAAGTCCCAGCCGCAACAGACTTGTCATTGGCAAGCTCAGCTCAGAAGCGCCTGTGTGAGGAGAGGAATCCTCAAGAGGAGGATGAACCTGTCACTAAAAGACAAAGTCAGGAATTCGAAGACACTCCCTTATCCCTAGTGATGCCCAAGGTAAAGGAGTGTGGGTGAATGTGTCTGCTGCCATCCCTTTATCCCTTGACCTTAATGAACATATGCTGCTATGTAGACCTGGCTGGCCTCGAACTCACAGAGATCCGCCTGCCTCTGCCTCCTGAGTGCTATGATTAAAGGCGTGTGCCCCCACACTTGGCTTTTACAATAATCATCTGGGCATAGTGGGGTTCCAGAGTCAGGAATGTGGGTACTGTGCCACTGACTGGCCAGGCCTGGGTTTCATCAACTCTCTTCACTGCCCAGCTTCCCTAGCTAAAGTGAAAAGAATAAAAATATGAGCTGTCCACATTCCCCACTTAGTAGCCAAGCACAGGTTGATGAGATGTAACCAGTAAAAGTCTCAGAAAGCCGGAGCCCAGCATTACAGCAGCTTGCAGTGGGTCAGCTAGGCATGATACATGGAAATGAATCCATTCATTAGGAACCTCTCTCCTCTGTGCTCTATGCTTTTCTCTCATCAAATGAGTTTTTCTAATTTTTATTTATAGCCCAGATGTGCAAGTAGTGGGTGGAGTTGATAGAGGCAGGAAAGATGAAAGATGGTAGAAGGAGAGAATAACCAAAACACATTATATACATATATGAAATTGTCAGAATTTAATAAACTAAATAAAATTTTATTAAAATTTTTATTTATTTAAAAACTGGAGAAGAAAACAAGTGGAAGACTCACAGGCATGTGACTTAGACGACAACCAAGGCAGCGTGAGCTAACCAGGAGCTCTTAGAAGACCCCAAAAGACTGCAGCATCACCCTTACATGCTAGCAGCACAGAAACCTAGTTCATAATGCAAGCGCCATGGCCAGATTGGCATTACTGAAATCTCTGTTGTGTCTGTACTTAGGAGTCATAAGCCTAAACATGTACCTTCATTTCTATACTGTTCCTATAAGTAGAATAAAAACTGCTGTCTTGTTTGTGTGCTAGGTATTTTTAAAAAAAGCTTTTCTAAAACTGACTACTGGGTTTTTTCCTTGCCTTTCTGCTTTGGTTATGCTTAGAAACCCTCACATTCCATGGACCTTGCCTCTCCCATGACCATGGGAAATGAGGGATCTACACCCCTGGGAGGCGCTTGTGTAAAGGATCATCTCCCTGCTGCAGAAGACGTTTCAGGAAAGGGTGTTGCAAACTGCTTCATTGATTCTGAATGTAGAAACCCATCCAGAAATCCAGATACCGAAAAGCCTTCAAAAGAAAATGAAATCACCAAAGAGTCATCGCTGCTGCAGTATCTCTATGTGCAGTCTCCGGCAGGTAAGAGGCTGTCAGCGTGAGCCTTTGAGGTGCTTCAACCATGTGTTAGATTTTTACACCTCTGCCTGTGTCACCTGATCAGAGAAAGCAGCTCATTGGCTTACTGCTGGTGCCTGTGTGTTCACGCTCAGCCGCCTTATTTTCTTCAGCTCTAAAACTGAAGGGTGAGGCTATGCTGTAAACCAACTACAGGAATAATAAGAAAAGATAGGAGGTAGATGGTTTTCTTTTAAATGCCTTGAACTTTATTTGGTGAAAACACAGCACATTTTAAAGGCAAGGTTAGATAGACAGACAGACAGATATAAAATTCAGGGCTGGAGAAATGGCTCAGCAGTTAAGAACACTGGTTGTTCTTACAGAAGACCCAGGTTCAAATTCCAGCACCCACATGGCAGCTAACAACTGTCCGTAACTCCAGTCCCAGAGGATCCGATAGCCTCTTCTGTCCTCTGAATCTGGCATTAGTTCAGAATAATAGTATGGACCTGGTGGTGATTATGTGCAGCTAAACATTCTGATTTTTAGTGTCTGTAGGTACCAAGTTCATTGTTGTGGTCTGAAGTAAGAGGGCTTGACGTTCACAACCACTTGTTTTCCGTCCAAACTTAAGTATTCAGCTATTCTCAGTGGTGAACAGCAACAATAACATCTGCTTCATGGGGTGATAAGAAAACTGAATTCGACTTAATAAACCTAAAGAACTTAGAATAATAGTACCCAGTATTTACTAAGACATGGTAAATGATGTTACTATTTTGAATAAACTGAATTACAATATATATCTAATTTTTAAAGTATCTTATTTACTATTATTATTTTGATGTTTATGAGTATACTACCTGCATGTGTGACATGTGCACCCATGTCGTGTAATGCCTGCAGAGGTCAGAAGAGGGCATTAGATTATCCTGGAACTGGAGTTACAGACTGTTGTTAGCTGCCATGTGGGTGCTGGGTATTGAACCCAGGTCCTCTGCAAGAGCAACCAGTGTTCTTAACCTCTGAGCCATCTCTCCAACTCCAGAAACCTGATTTTTAAAATACGCTTCTTGTAGATAAAGTTGCTCTTGATGGGAAGATACTTGTATTAGTTACTTTTCTCTATGTTATGGTAGAGTACAGGAGAAAAGCAACTTAAGAAAGGAGGAGGTCACTTTGGCTCCTGGTTTGGGAAGGAGTGACAGAAGTGCTAAGGGACTGGCCACACTGTCTGCAGTCAGGAGGCAGAGGTGAATGCTGGTGCTCCACTAGTCTTCTTTGTATTCAATCCAGGACCCCTGCTCCCTGCTGGTGGGATGGTGCTGCCTATATTTTGGGAGGGTCTTTCCTCCTCAGTTAAACCTCTGGAAACACCCTCACAGACACGCTCAGAGATGTGTCTCCTGGGTGACTCCAAATCCACTCAGGTTGCAGTGAAGAGTAACCACCACAATACTTAAATTGATTCTCCTCAGTTCCCTGTAGGCTTAAACCTGACCTGATGGGTAGATTAGATAGGTATTTGTCAGTATTCATTTATCATGTTGTTAGCTTGGAGTGTTTACTCAAAGCAGGGTGCTCAGTGTTGGGGATCCTTTGAGTAAAAACAGACTTAGCCACTGCTGACTTAAAATTAGAGCCTACCCAGGCATGGTGGTGCACGCCTTTAGTCCCAGCACTTGGCAGAGGCAGGTGGATCTCTGTGAGTTAGAGGCCAGTCTGGTCTACATAGTGAGTTCCAGGCCAGCTGGGGCTACAGGGAGACCCTGTCTCAAAAAGACCATAAGTAAAATAAAATAAAATAAAAAATAAAAGTAGAGCCCAATGCAGGGTTTTTGTTTGTTTTTTTTTTTTCTTTTTAACTTTTTCTCAACCATAAACCATTAGATAATCTGGGGAAGCCCATCATCAAAATGTTTACAAAAGAGGAAATTTAGTAACTAGGATTGTAAAGAAATAATTACATTGAAATAAAAGCAGAAGTGTGTGTTTTTAACTATTTATTCTGATAAAAAGACCTGGCAGCAAGTCGAGAATTGCTGTCATTTCAAAGATGTGATGAGCTAAGCAGTATATTAAGAATTCTGCAGTGTGGTGCTGAAGAAATGGTTCAGTGGTTAAGAACACTTGCCACCCTTCCAGAGAACCCAGGTTCGATTCCCAGCACCTACAGCCCCTACATGACAGCCAGTAGCCATCCATAACTCCAGTTCCAGTGGATCCTACACGCTCTTATGGCCTCTGTGGGTATTGTACACACATGGCGCACTTACTGACATGCAGACAATACACTCATACACATATAATAATATTATTTATTTTTTATTTTATGTGTATGAGTGTATTGCCTGCATGTCGGTAAATGCACCTGTGTCGTGCGATGCCCACGGAGAACAGAAGAGGCTGCTGGATTCCCTGGAACTGGAGTTACTAACAGTTGTTAGCTGCCATGTGGGTGCTGGGATTCAAACACAGGTCTTTTGCAAGAAGAACCAGTGTTCTTAACCGCTGAGCCATCTCTCCAGTCCCAGAATAATAAATAAAATATTTTTTAGCAAAAGAATTATGCGATCTTCAAATAGCCCCTATCTGTACTTTTGTCTGTGGGGGTATGGGGTGGGTATCATACCCAGAAGACAACTTCAAGTGTCATTCCTCAGACACCATCCACTTTTTTTTTCATTCTCTTTGACAAATTGTGATTATTGAGGAAAATACAAATTTTCAGTCAAAAGTTCATGAAAATAAAGAGGATTTGTCTCAAAAAGACCGAAAAAAAAAAAAAAATTCCCACCAAAGTTTTATTTTCCTCAACAGGGGACTGGGGAGACGGCTCAGTGAGTAAAGTGCTTGCCCCAGAACCCACATAAGAGCCAGACACAGTAGTGCACATATCTGTACTCCCAGCTCTCCAGTGGAGAAATGGGAGGCCGAGACAGGAGAATCCCCAGTTCTCAGACCAACTAACCTGCTGTGCACAGTAGCAAACAAGGGACCCTGCCTCAAACAAGGTGAACGGTAAGGACCAACACTCAGTTTTCCCCTGACCTCCACATGCATACCATGGCACATGTATGCCCTCATTCACACAAGAATACCACACACACACACACACACACACACACACACACACACATGCACAAAGAAAAAGCAAAAAGATAAAAAAGCCCTCCACAGACATAGACCACATGACCCTGTAGGTAAATGAATGCTGAGGTTGTCTGGGCACCCACGTGACAGAGTCTTGTGGGCTAGAAGGGTGTTCAACCTCATCGGGCAGAAGGTTCCAGCATCCATTGATTTCTGGTGGTCTCCTCTTCGGAAGGGCCATAAGGGATGGGAATGTGAATGGAATCTTGTGATTCTCACTTTGTTCTCCTTCTGTTGCAGGATTAAATGGCTTCAATGTGCTCTTACCAGGCAGCCAAACCCCTCATACTGTGGGGCCATCCCCGGGCCCACTGCCATCCTTCGGTGTTCCTTGCATGGTCTTACCTTCTCCAACTCTAAACCCATTTCCAGTTCTCTATTCTCCTGGAATATCTTCGGCTCCTGGCGCTCTCCCAAACACGGGACCTGTGAATTTTGGCTTGTCCGCCCTGGGATCCACAGCTCATCTTCTCATCAGCCCTGCAGCCATACTCAATCCAAAGTCATCCACCCTCCCCTCTGTAGACCCTCAGCTTCAGCATCAGCCCTCCCAGAACTTGAGTCCAGTGATGTCAAGATCACACAACATCGTCCACCCTGAGTCCCCCGGTTACATGGGACATCCAGTATCAGTGGTTAAACTAGAGCAGGTGAGGCCTAGAGCCCTGTCACTCTGTAATGGTTATGGCCTTCATTTCAGTCACTTGGCCGATACAGAAAGATAAAAGTTCTGCCTGGCTTCCACTGCAGACCCAAAGTTACCGCTTATTCTTTGAAGCATGGAGATAAAAGGCAACAAATGCTGTGCTTTAAGACAAAAATAATTTTTTTCAATTGTCAGTCTGCTTCCTGGAATTGGAAGGAACCTTGTATTAGATGTAGTTAAAGATTTGAGGAGTGCTTCACGTTTGGACAGTTTCACTCTTCTCTGGGCACTTACTTCATTAAGGAAACCATCCTAAATCTATGCAGCTGTAGATACAATCAAGGGAAAAAGAGTCTCAGTTCTAACTCAGATTCTTCTCAGCACCTGTCGTTTCTTAAAATGTGATGTCTAAGGGGTAATAGGCACACACACATGCACACTCATAAAACTATATATATAAACAAATATTATTGACACCTAAGTTCTACATTTGTCCCTCAGATTCCTTTTGTAGCTGTATCAGTAAATACCTGTTCAGTTTCTATTATATATAAAGCATTGTTTAGGGGCTGGAGAGTTGGCTCAGCAGTTAAGAACACTGGTTGTTCTTGCAGAAGACCCAGGTTCAAATCCCAGCACCCACTTGGCAGCTAACAACTATCCATAGCTCCAGTCCTAAGGGATCTGACGGCCTCTTCTGACTTCTGCAGGCATTGCATGACATGGATGCACTTACCTACATGCAGGCAATACACGCATACACGTAAAATTAAAATAATAAATAAATTTTTTTTTAAAGATGAAAAAAAAAGCATTTTTCATAGTCACTATTCTCAGGAAAAGGTCTATTTGGGCAAAAATATTTTAGGTGAGTTATTCAGACTCAGAAGTTTGCTAGGTATTTACTTTTTAAACACGATTTTGTTATCATTTTTTGAAGTGCTGGGGATCTAACCCAGAGCCTCAGGTATGCTAGGCAAGTGCTCTCCACTGATCCATATCCCTAGACCCAGCATAGGCTTTTTTGATGGCTGTGAGCCAGGCACCAATCTAGGCAGGGTATACAGCAATAAGCAGGATAGCATTCCCTCCCTTTTAGAGCACATTGAGAAAATCTCAGCAGAAAGAATGATATGCATGCATCACAGTGCTTTGTATCCTCTAAAGTGCTCCAACAAGATCATCTCATTTAATTCTTCAGCCAAGTGAAATATTGCTCTCCATCACGGTAATGAAGTAACTGAGGGATGAAGGTGAAGATATTTGCCCAAGGTCACACAGTTAGCGGTAGACAGGTCTGGACCCTGGCTCTAGACCTAGCCTGGCCACTTTTGTGACCTTTTTAGTAGGCTGCCTTTCTGCACCTGAGCTCTTTGTGCATTGTGCTAAGGGTTGGACAGATGGGATGGGTGTGATGAGAAAGCAGAGTGGAGGGAACATTGCACAGGATGCCTAGTGAGGCCACACAAGTAAAAATCTCCAGCTCAGAGGCTGAAAGTTTGATTTTATTTTGTTCTTTTTAGTCACCTGTACCAGTGACCCCCAAGAGCATCCGACGCAGGCATCGTGAGACATTTTTCAAGACACCTGGCAGCCTCGGAGATCCTGTCCTTAGGAGAAGAGAAAGGAATCAATCACGAAACACCACCTCAGCCCAGAGGAGACTAGAAATCCCCAGCAGCGGGCCTGACTAACCTGCTGCTTTGGCAGGAGGGGTGGCCTCAAAATACCTGGAGGTCCCTGTGTCCCAGACAGTGCCCAAAGTGGAACACAGGCCATCCTGGTCCTCAGCTTGTGTCCTTGCTCTCTTTTTCATCCACTGGTTATGCCAACTTCCCAATATCATGAATCATCTATCTTCCCCGAAGTAATGATTATTAATTATGCATTTAATACTAGCTAGAGTTCAAGCTCTGCACAGTGTCACAGCAACAGCACTGTCTGTCTGGTGTGGTTTGATTCAAGAATTACCCAGTTGCTGGAAGTAGGTCTGAACAGGCTGCTGGAGCCTTGTGGTCTTTCTGAAGGGGGAGCTGAAGCACTTAACCGGATAAACATTCGTGTTGTGCATTTCCACTTGCCCTAAGTAGGGCTGCGGTGAGAGAACTTCCTTTCTACAGCTTAAACATGCTACTGCTTCCTTCCTTTTCACCAGGAAGCCGCCTTCAGTTATGAATCCTATGGTATTATTTATTTTGTTCCTGAAGTGGGACTTAGTGCAAAAAGTTTACAACTACAGCCTAACAAATTTTTTCAGGGTATGACGACTTGAATGTTTATAATTTGTTGTATAATTTGCCCTGCACTTACTCTACAACCTATTAATAATGTGGACAAATGTATATACATGACAGATGTCAAGACCAAAATAACTGTGAATGCTACACCTAGCTATGGATGAACTGTGCTGACCCTTCTGAGGGCATGAAGACAAAGGTGAAGTCTAAGGGCCTTTGTGGCTGCTTTGGCAACTGCGAACGATGAAGTTTTACTGTTCAAAAACCCTACTATGCTGTTTTCTTCACTATGTGCCCTGAATTTTTTGAACTTAAATGCTCAATGTAAAGTGTCAGGCATGCATGTCATATTTGGAGGGGTAAGAAGGAAAATGGGGACATTCTGTTTTGTTACCAGGAGTATTCAAACCGTAATTCTGTGGTACTCTCAGAAATAAGAGCTGTGAGTTAATTCCAACACAGATAGAACTCTGGAAACTGTTCCAAGTATCCCTCTGAAAACCATGTTACTTTAGGAATCAAACTTGCTCTCTATTCTCAATTTATTCATATTTATACCTCATGTTTATCTCTTCAGAGTAAATCTTTCCCCCCTTTCTCTGCTTCCTTTTTTCTTTGCTTCCTTCAACCTTTTTTTTTTTTTTCTTTTTCTCTTTTAAACTTCTTAGATTTAGAGTCTTAATATAATGCTCTTTTTTAATTTTGGGGCCCTGTAAAATATTATGTGAAAGAATAAAAATATTAATTTAAGAGACTCTGGGAGTCTAAGTAAAGTAGCTTTCTATCAACTACAGGGTGCCCTTAGCCTTACTACCCCTACAGTAACTTTTGAAAACTAGAGACAGGTAGCCAGATTTAATAAATTTGCTACTTAGCAAATTTTTATCAACACTAAGCTTCTAAAGTTTACAAGATGATGGTTTTCTCCTTTTTAAGAAACTCTTGTGTTAAATAAAAATTACATAGTAATGATCACTCTGAACCCACACCAGTGGGTTCCTTATTGAAACAAAAATAGGCCTTTTTCAGGTAGTTTACTGGATATGCAGCAAGGGAGTTTGTACAGAGTGCTGGCATTTAAAATCTGTGCTGCATAAGAACTATGAAGTATTTCCACCAAGAAGTCTGCATTTAGATAGAAGCAAGCATTGAAGAATGATCCTGGATGGTCTTCATCTTCGCTTTCTGCTGCCCTTTTATTGTAATTATTACTCTGTGAATTGACCACATTAACCTCAGGATTTGTGGTTCTTGAGTGTTAAGTAGTTCCATTAAGGAGAAGGGTGTGACCTCATGGCCACAATCACTGATGGAAAACATAGGGAAGTCGCTTCTGTGTAAGAACTCATGTGGCTTCCTGTTATGTAAAAATCAAATAATCAGTGATTGTTTCTGTCAAGAAAGTGACTTCAGAACGGCTGGCTGATGGCTGGTGCTGCTGCTGAGCTAGACCTCTGGGGTAAGGAGAGGCAATGGCAGTCTGGAGTTTGTTACTATCTAATTTAGTAAAAAAAGTAACTGTTGGAGGTCCTTTGAAGGAGATGCAGCTTTGAGTCAGCACTGGTGAGGTGGGGGTGCTCCTTGCTGTCCAGGGTTTGTGAAACCCTAGCATTCTGGTTCAAGAGTTGGGGGTAAAATTTTTATACTTGAATCTACCTACCAAGTTTACATTACTCAATTCCTTTTTGTAAGGTGCTATTTCTGTATTTGAATAACTTTAATGTAAAGCTGCTTCCTGCTTATTGCACTGCTAGGTTTCTGTAGGTGTTAACTTTATTGCTGCTTGCTGCTTGTGTTTTCAATTGTATTTCGCTCTGCCCTTTTTCCTAATGGCTATATTATCTATAGCCATCTGCTTAAAACGTACTACATGTAAATCCATTTTTTTCTTTTAGAAAAATACTAAGCTCTATAAAATAGCAATAAAAATAAATATTTAGTAAAAAATGTTGGTTATGTTACTTTTTTATGTTTGTTTTGTGTTTATGTGTATTGGGGACATGCATGTACCATGTAGCACATGGAGTGGATGTCAGAACAGTTTGAAGGAGTCCATTCTCCTAACATGTGGGCCCCAAGGGATCACACTCAGGTGGTCAGGCTTGGCAACAAGCACCTTTAACAGCTGAGCCGTCTCACCAGCCCTGGTTATTTCTTGATGGGTTTGCTTTTACTGCTGTTTCTGTTTTTGTTAATAGTAATGCTATTAACAAAAGCTGTGACAACCATCCAGACCCTCCAAAACTGAAATTGGATCCTTTTTGCTGAGACCTTCCTGTGGTTCCCACATACCACAAATAGCTGCATCAGAATGGCCCAGGCACTTGAGAGGCTGGAGGGACCATGTTATTAACCTGGCTTCTACTGACTCCAGCTGGTATGGGTTTGGAGCTTCATCATGAAACCAATGCTTATTCAATGCAGCAGTCACAAATGAGTGAAGGCTACCCTCCCAGTCTCTGGTGTCTGTGAGATTAAGTGCTTCTCAGCCTAGCAAATGCTCACTTTTAATTTAGGCCAGATTCTATTGTTAGCATAGATTCCTCCTGGCTCTTTCAAGGTCGAGAAAGTGATCCACTGTGCACAGGTGTCCATCTCTGCTGCTAAATCATGAGGTGTGACAAGCTGATGTTGAGCTCATGCACATGGACAATCCACCAGAGGCCTCATCTGGTCAGCATACGCCTGAACTTCCTGTAACACGGGCAACAGATTTTTCTCCAACTGCTGCCCTCCCATAGCCTCTGTTTTCCCCGTATGTTAGATTCCTGGCAGACTCCTAAAATGGTGGTTCAATTGCCAATATTCTAAAACAGTGGGTTCAAACTTAGCTAAGGCAAGACCCTCTGCTTATCAGACCAACCAATCCCAAGCTAAACTGCCCAGCCTACATTATGGAAAGTTACCTCAGCACCTAACTGCCTATAAAAGATGTCTGACTTCCCCTGCTGGTTGCTGTCTCTCTGATCCAGGAGGCAGTCCAGCAGTTTGATTACCACCCCCCAATAAACTGCTGTCCCCCATGGAGTTGTCTTGGTCAAACATGGTCTTCACTGCACGCTTCCATACATATGGTGCCAAAACCCAGGAGAAATGCCTGGGTTTCTTATGACCCAGTTCCTCCTTTTACTGAACCAAATTGCTGACCAGGCACGCCTGCCTGTGATAAGGACCATCTTGCCTATGCCAGCTCGTACCACTCACTACATCAGACCTGCAATTATAAATCTATCTGCTTTCCTCTGTCCCATTCACTCTCTGACAGAGTTCAGGTAAGTGCTCGCCTCTCAGAACTGCTGATCTATTTCTCTGCCTTCTCTCCCCATCCTTCTCTGTGTCTCTCAGTTTCCCTCCTTCCTTTACCTTCCTACCTGGAGGTCTTCCCTTCTCTCTGGAGGTGTTCGACTCATTTTCAAGTCAGACCAGTGCACTTCCCACATCCTGCTGGGGGTGCCCCTCACTTGTCCTCAGGTCACCTTGACAAGTTACTTGGACCCTTTTCTTGCTTGGAACAGCATTGTGATGGGGACGCCTCTCATGGCTGCTACTTCTCTGGGAGGACCCTCACCCTCCTTCCTCGTCCTGGACTTGAAAGGAACTCTCTCATGGAACTCTCTTACCAGTTAAGGATTAAGGCATTAAGGCAGCTAGGGGCTCTGACTGCCCTCTGCTGGGCCCTTGTCAGGCTATGACCTCTTCCTCTACTCCTTCCTCATCCTGGTCTTGGAAAGTTCTCTGCTTCATATTCTCTACCAGAAGGTGGCTTGGAAGTTCCAGGAGCGTCCCACTGGGCCCCAGACAACCCCTCCCTTCTCCTTTCCTTGCCCTGGGCTGGGAAGGTTCTTTACTTCATACTCACTGGTCTACAACTTAAGGTAGCTCAGAAGTTCTGGTGCCTCCCACTGTGTCCTTGTCCTCCACCCACTCCTGTCTTCCATCTTTCTTTTTCTCTTTCTTCCAGTGTCTCTCTCCCTCACTTTGCTGGGGATGGTCTCCGATCCCTGACTGATACTGTTATTTTCCATGTAATGTTAGATTTCCTTTTCTTCCATCCTATACTCAAAGCTATTGCTCCTCCTCCCTCTAACCAGTTACAGGTTCACTGCACAGCACAGGCAAAATGGTCCAACCCCCCTCTCCCACTCCCATAACCCTTGTTCTGCTTCTGGACCCAGCTGCAGACATGTAGGTCTCTAAGTCTTCCCACTTTTCTAAATTCTTCAGAGAAGCATAATTTCTCTCTTTCATATCCCTCTTCTACCAGACTGGTGTAACTAAATTTGGGTGTTTAATAACTATACTTAAAGGCTTATAATAATCTTGTCAAAGGGACTTAAAGGGACAAGTTTTGTTCCTTTCCCTCCAAGGTTGACTAAGTCCCAGGGAACTATGGGAGCATCTCTTGAAATGTCCTGTAACTGTGATGAGTCACCTGCCCTGTTCAGGGAGACCATGGGGAACCCCCTAGAAGGACTCAAACCAGTGTCCAGTCTATAAAGAGGAGGGTCAACATGGAGGAAAGTTTCTTCCATGCTTCCAAGCAAAGCTATGGTCAAGTAGGACATTTGACTTAGCCTCACATAGATGGAATGGGTAAAAAAAGGCCTCAGGAGCCAGAGGCTCCTCCCAAGCTCATGAGACCCCTGAGGACCAGATCCTCAACCAACCTTAAGAGTAAGACTAAATTGGTTTATTTGCGCCAACTGCATGGTCTTAAACACCCAAAAGGAAAGTATAACCAATGATTAAAATGATTGGTATATTTCTTTTAAGAGTTTAAAGGATTCCACTTCCCAAACATTAGGGTTAAGTTCATATAAGACGTTATTTACACAATCTCTCACTAATGATTTTGTTTTTAACAAGAAGATGCTGCTCAGGTATAAGACTTCAAATCCTGGCCTAATCAACTGCAGTGCCTACCTGCAGCCAAAAGGAAAAACACACTATTCTTATCTAAAAATTAAATGATGGCTAAATTTGTCTCTTTCACCCTGTCTAGAGGACATTTGGGAGGGAACTCACACTGTGATTCTAGCCACTCCAACAACTATGAAAGTGCCTGAAAAGCAAATCCTGAGTCTAACCATGGCAGCCGAAAGAAAAATTGAGGAGAAGCCCAATAGATGGATGCTTTTGGAAGCCCTTATGAAGAAATTCTGACTTAGAAAGTCACCCTGTTCTGACTTCTCCTGGTTCCCTGCCTAGAATTTGTGCCTAACTTCTCTTGCCTTTTCCTTCTTCTCCTTGGCCCACTGATATCCATCCTCCTTGTAATAATGAGTATTCCATGCCTTTCACATTTTTTCAGGACAGAATCAATGAGATAACCCAACAGTCAGTGAACCAGATGCTTTTAACCAAATTCCCTCAGGTTTCCTACCACTGCCTGCCTGACTCCACACTTTGAATCCATGTTCCAGCCTTTTGAGACCACCCCTCTTTACTGAAGTCCCTGTCCAGCAGGAAGTAGCTAAAGAAAGATCATTGTTGCCCCTTATCATCAACAAAAGGCTGGAATGTTGGGTTCTTGGCAGACTCCTAAAATGGCGGCGCAGCTCCCAGTATTCTAAAATGGTGGGTCCGAAGTCAGCTAGGGAAAGTCCCTCTGCTTATGGGGAGACCAACCAATCCCAAGAAAAAACTGCCCAGCCTCCATCATGGAAAGTTACTCAAGCACCTAAGTGCCTATAAAATATGTCTGACTTCCCCTGCTGGCTACTATCTTTCTGATTCCAGGAGGCAGTCCAGCAGTTTGATCCCCCCACACACACCAATAAACTGCTGTACCCCATGGAGTTGTCTTGGTCAGTGGTCTTCACTGCACACTTCTATACACTGTAGTGTTTATAAACTGGGGCAAGATCTGAAACAGTCTCAGGCTGACTGACTCCCATTACCCACATCTAGTGCCCTTTTTCCTAAGAACACCCAACCACACTCAGCAACTTTTGAGGCTACTCTGACCCACCACCTCCTCAGGCAAATCAGTTGCCAGAACCTGCTTCCTACTTCAGGAAAGGCTAGAGGCAGGCATCACCTGAACATCTCCCCTGTCTCTGAAGAACACCTCCCCTAGCTCCCTGTAGAGTACCTCCCTTCTTTTCCTATAGGCCCACAGAGGTGGAGAACTTACTGACCTCACTAAATCCATTCCTATTTACATTTACCCTAAATCCATTCCTATTTATGTTTCTTCAAGTGTTACACAATCTTCTGGGTGACAGTACTCAATAGTTGTGTTTCACAAAACCTCTATCAGTTCTTCAGAGCCTATGAAATACAGTATTTCCTGTAAGTGGTGCTGCAGCCATACTCACCGTTTAATATCCTTTTACAACACACTTCTGCCATTCAGGATGTCCATGTCTCTAGATCATCGCTGAGGTACTGAATATTCATGAGTATCAAAGTAGTCCTGATGGTTAATTTGTATTAGTGTTAAAATCTATTTGATTCAGTGTCTTTTCTGACCAGAAAGATTAAGAAATCAGATCTAAAGCTAAAACAGCTTCCATCCTCCCACATCTAAATTTAATGTTAAGTAGCCCACTGGTAACCTTTAGTTAAGGTGGCTATTGTAAACAAGTACCATGCATTCCCCAGCTGTACTGATAGACTCAGCTGTTAGGGGGAATTAAGAATGAAAAGTGGGATTAGAGAGATGATTATAGACTTAAGCTCATATTGAGTTTTTTAAAACTGGCTTGAATATGAACTTTTAAAGATTTTTTAAAGTGTTTTTGAGAGTTTCTTTTTTTGAGTATTATTTTTGCACTAATTCCACCCTTCCCAGCCCCCTCCAACTTCTCCCACGACCTCTCAATTTCTTATCCTCTTCTTTGACTATTGTTACATATACACACACTTATAAATATACATACATATATAATGTACTAAGTCCATCTAGTGGTGCT